CAAATTTTCCACCAAGTCGAATGGACAGAAAATAGATAGCCTTGATTATACCATTCCTTAGACTACGTAAAATCAATGACATTGCCATTCACGTACTCTCTCTCCTCAGTTATTTTTCACCTCCTTGCATTCCTACCTACAATCTCATTCGCACCATCTCATCTCAATTCTCAAATCAATAATGACAACACGTCAGGCTTATGGCTCGCCATAGCAAAACTCGCAGTCCATTCAGTTGCCCTATTAAAACTGAGTAGCCAGGCTAGTGTATTGGACTTGCCTCAACTCCAAAATTACAAAAACCTCGTGATTCACATATCAAAGTCACTAGACCACCCCCAAACTAAACCGCTATTCAAACTTGAAAGACTAGAGAATAAAAAACCCAAACCTCATCGATACTCTCCAGAACTTAGTAAATCCAGAAAACTGGGGAAAAAACCAAAAACCCATTCTTCTTACCAAAAAGCCCCATGAAACCTTACTCAAACTAGCCTGAATTCTCCACCAAACTAGAGCAGAACAGAAGAGAATGGAGAGGCAAACAAGAAATCAAAAGGAAAGAAGAGCTTTATTGTCGAAGCCGTGAGAAGAAACCAATGAAAAACGAGTAAGAATTTTCCTAAACAAAGACACCTTCCAAATGTTTTATCAACTAGAGTATAAAGGGAAAGGTGCAGGAAAAAGAAAATGAGAAAAACGAAGAGGCAAGAAAAAGAGCTTTGAAAAGTCTCCCAAAAAGGTCACCACCATAATAAATGCAAACTTTTTCAAAACTGAACAAGTGGCAGCCATTCAAGAGACATTGGAAAACATGACCCTTTGTTTTCCCACTCAATTGTTCTCAAAATTTAGATCATCCTTTGCAAAGGTTTCAAACTTTCACACAACCCCACCCAAGTGCAAGACGCGACGCAGTCACAAAGGCATACTCTCATGAGCATTAGTCAAAAGATGTCCCCACTCGACACGGCTCAGTCAAACTGAGTGGGAAGAATGTACAATCATTTACGCCAAGTGTCAGCAAGCCTTACCACTAATCTGACTCATTTTCAAAAGGATAGTGGGGAACAAACATGCTACAGCCTAAGTAGTTACAGTCTGCTCAGCAATCTGGTACAAGATCATCACCGTATGTTATGCGATTTTTGGATATGCTACAACACCAGCATACAAAACAGGAGCAACAACAAATGCTATTGCTCCGAACAGCTCAAACAAATGCAACAACGCCAGATGTAGCTTAAGCAACTGCTATTAGAACAACAACAACGGTTAGACCAACAAGCAAAGCAGCAGCTGCCGAGGCACACGCAGAATCATTAAAACCCACAAAGCTCCAACCTCAGTTTATCCTACCCTACTCGATCCAGCAAACGTGAGTGGCAGCACTTGAAGGGGAAAGGTATCTGTCATTGTCTCCTTTTAACTACCACTCCATTTGGTTAAATCTTTCTCTATTCGGCCCATTACTTAAATACATGCAGCTCATTTGTCCATTTAACTCACTCTTTATTCAGTCCATAACATATGCACATCATGCATATTAACTCTCAATTAGACTATTTGCTTAAAACATGCATGCCATGCATGTCACTGCTCCAGCTTCAATAGAATGTTTTCAACTACAAGTCGATCACGCCGACTCAACTGCAAGCTCCATACAAGCTCCACTTGGCATACACCTTCGGATCGGCCTTGCCTGATCCATGGATTTACACCTTCAGATTGACCTTGCTCAATCCACGGATCTACACCTTCGGATCGGCCCTGCCCGATCCACGGATTTACACATTCGGATCCACCCTGCTCGATCCATGGATCTACACCTTTGGATCGGCCCTGCCTGATCCATGGATTTACACCTTCGGATCGACCCTGCTCGATCCATGGATCTACACCTTCAGATCAGCCTTGCCCGATCCAAGGATTTACACCTTCAGATCAACCCTACTCGATCCACAGATTTACACTATCGGATCGACCCTGCTCGATCCATGGATTTACACCTTCGGATTGACCTTGCTCAATCCACGGATCTACAAGATCCATGGATTTACACCTTCGGATCAACCCTGCTCGATCCACGGATTTACAACTTCAGATCGACCTTGCTCAATTCACGGATTTACACCTTCGGATTGACCCTGCTCGATCCACAGATTTACACCTCCGGATCGACCTTGCTCAATCCACAGATCTACATCTTCGGATCGGCCTTGCCCGATCCACGGATTTACACCTTCGGATCGACCCTGCTCAATCCACGGATTTACACCTTCGGATCGACCCTGCTCGATCCATGGATTTACACCTTTGAATTTACCCTGCTCAATCCACGGATCTACACCTTCGGATTGGCCCTGCCCGATCCATGGATTTACACCTTCGGATCGGCCCTGCCCGATCCATAGATTTACACCTTCGAATCGACCCTGCTCGATCCACGGATTTACACCTTCGGATTGACCCTGCTCGATCCATAGATTTACACCTTCGGATTGACCCTACTCGATCCACGGATTTACACCATCAAATTAGCCCTGTCGATCCACAGATTTACACCTTCGGATCGACCCTGCTCGATCCATGGATTTACACCTTCGATCTGCACTGCCTGGTCCATAAAGCTATACATTCAGTCAGCCAGACTGGTTGAAGGGTTCTTACACCTCAAATCGACAAGTCATCAACCCAATCCACGCAACGATCCATCCGACCTAACGAACTGCTATCACTAATCCACTTAGTCTGCACTCATTCGATTAAATCTACTTTCTAAGCTAAATACTCTTTAACTTAGAGAGTGGGGGGCTAACTGTTAGGGCCAAAAATCGTCTTGGGCTTGACGATGCCCAATAACGAAATAAACATGTCACCGGCCAAGGCCTTAACCCAATCCCGATTCGGCCTACGCTTAAAATCACCTTGCGACCTACCCATTCTATGAGTTGGGCTATCCTATAAATTAGGCTAAAATTGGTTTCAGTTCATTAGCCTGCAACAGTCTATAAATAGAAAATCAGAGTTCTATTCTATTTCCTCTTTTACTAAGAGTCCAAATCTTACTCAAATTATTAAATTTGATTTGATAAGGTCAAGAAATCATATCCTTTCATGATAGGGATTATTTCCCAAAATAGGAATCAATGTCCTATTAGGATTCCAACCCCTTGGGTTCACTATAAAAACAGAGGTTTGCCCTCTCATTAGGCATGCAATCTCCCATAGTCAATCTACACTACTCAAAACCATCTATTTGCTCCTAAAGTTCTTGCTCCCAAGAACCCGACGCCTCCGCCGTAGTCCCAACCTCCGACAAGACTCCTAGTAATTATTCTTCTCCTTAATTCTTATTAAATAATCTCTTTCAGTCTTATTGACTTGAGTGTCGGAGTGCCTACGGCAAACACCACCCTGGTGTTTTCTGGAAGCTTCATGCTTGACTTTTCATGTGTGTAGGTCCAACAGATTGTCAGTGACCTCAACCTTACGGGATCAGACCCCATTTTTATGACAGTAGATTTTTTGCATCTACAGTTTGGCGCCCACCGTGAGGCCCTGACAATCATTTGCTAATGACGACTAACAACATGAGAGGAGACATGAAACTCCCCCCGACTGACATCGTTTATATCAGTCGTATTCGAAGAAGGAGCCGATTGAACTCAAGAACGCTTGAACAGATTCGTCAATTAAAGAAATTAATTATAATGGAGATGTTGCTGATGTCATACCACCGATTCTTGCTAAATGAATGGTTAAATTTACTAATTTTTTACTTACCTGCAACTTCTATCAACTATATGAATTTCTTATTATTTTCACAGGAAGATTGAGATTATGCATTCACTTGGTGTAAATGCATACCGGTTCTCAATTTCATGGGTAGAATTTTACCAAGTATGTTCTTAGTAGCAATTAATTGAATGTTAATGTAGTGAGATTAATATTCAACTACTTGATGATAATGTTCCTGAGTTGTAACAGAAGGCAGACTTGGTGAAGTTAATCCAAGTGGAATCATGTCTTATAATATATTATAGACCATTCTTGACAGAGAATATCCTTTTCAATGAATCTATAACTTAAGCACTAGTGTTTTTTTTAGAAGATAGATATGGGTCTTGGCTCAGCCCTCTAATTCATTTAACTTCTGTTCACACTCTATAAGCTTTTCTGTTTCCCTGAAAAAAAATGCTCGACTCTATTTTCAATAGGTTCTGAATATATGCCTAGTAACTAAGTTCTACCATTCTCTAAAGGGGTTTCTTCAGTACTTTTGCTTTTAAGATTGCAATACCTGGTTGCTCTAAGATCCCTTAATCCCTTTCATGTTCATTTAGTTATGATGAATCAGTTTTGTTGGTACAGTATGTGATTTCAGTGTTCTGAAGATTTCGTACATTTTGCCAAAATATGCTTTGAGAATTTTGGTGATGGAGTTAAGAGTTGGGCAACCATCAACGAGCCGAGCCTGTTAAGCGTAATGGGATATGTTAGGGGATGGTACCCTCCAGCTCACTGTTCAGCACCATTTGGAAATTGTTCTACTGGCAACTCTGATGTAGAGCCCCTCAATGTTATGCACAACATGTTACTGTCACATGCCAAGTATCACGGGCTGGGAGTTTCACACCCAAAAGGCTAACCTATTAGGTGGAGGGACTCCCCCCATTTATAAGTCCAAGACCTCCCCAATACGCTTTCAATGTGGGATTTGTTACATTCTCCCCCACCCAATCCTGTGACGCCCTCGTCACAGGTGGGGTCCCCTGCCTACCCATCCACCTCACTCTCGTGTAGACCCACAATCACACGTGGACACCCCTACGTGGGCGCTTGGCGGGACATCAAAAGACGGATTGGGTTTGCTCTGATACCACTAGTCACGGGCTGGGAGTTTCACACCCAAAAGGCTAACCTATTAGGTGGAGGGACTCCCCCCATTTATAAGTCCAAGACCTCCCCAATATGCTTTCAATGTGGGATTTGTTACACAAGGCTGTTAAGCTATACCGTGAGCAGTTTCAGGTAATAGAATGAGTTTGAATACTAAATTGTGAAGTGCTTATATGGCATGAAGAAGGGACATCAAATGATAGTGCCCAGTTTGCTGGCTTGTTTGAAACCGCTGGAAATGTTGAGATGGCTGAGGCAATTTTGGTTTTTGAATTAATTTTTGTTTTTAATCTTTCATATTTGTTTGTGATTGATTCTTTGTTAGATTAGTGTTAGTGAAAGAAACTGACTTTTAGATTTGTTTGGAGCAAGAAGATTGACCTTGATGATAAAAAATTGATTATGCTTGCTTATTGGTAAACTTGTTTTTAATTTTATTAATTACTAATATATTGATTTGAATGATCCTTTAGTCCTTGAGTACCTGAATTAGCTTATCGGTAGGGTTTATTTCGATAATCATTTTTCACCGAACAAATAATTCAAAGGTTTGAAATATTTATTTTTGAATGATTTTTTATTTAATGTATATGTTGTAATTGTTATTTATTTGTTTTTTTTTTAATATTAATTATCTTTTATTTGTTTTTTTTTTGAATATTAGGATCTTTCTTAAGGCCAACTCTAAGGGGAGGTGCATTTATTCCATGACACATTTTAGCAGTACAAGAAATACTTGGATAAATGACGAAGCCAAGGTTCGATATGTAAGTATTATGTAGTGTATTTCATTTTTTTTTCTATATAAAAGTTGATTATATTTTTATATTATAACCTAATACCTTTTAATTTTTTAATTTATAAAATTATATTATTTTAATTTATATATTTGTGTGTATGTACATATATATTATTTTCTTAGGAACAAATTGTGGATTGGGTTATGGTCCAAAACCACCTACATCTTCTAAGACTTCAAGGCGAGCCAATCAAGAAGTTTTAGAGGAATTCACACACTTGTGTGAGGAGGTGCAAGAACTACGAGGCATAGGGGAAGAATTTTGCCAATATAGGAAAATGATGGAGAAAATGCAGCAGTTCATCTCAGTTAATATGGGTTTTTTTTCTGATGGCTCACAGACATTTCCAGGCCAATTTCCACCAGATCCTCCACCACCTGCAACAATTTGAGTTTTCAGTTGTTACTTTTTGTTGAATATTACAATTTAGTCAACTTTTTATTTGAAAACAAACTTATATAGTTCTATAATATATTTGGTTTGATATATTCATGTGATTTCAATTAATACATTTACAAATTAATGTTTATGTTTTAGAATTAAATTTTAAAATGTCTCAAATAAATTAAATATTATTTAATCATATATTATAAAATGGGCGACGGCGATTATATTTTGATGTTGTAGACTTTTAGCTATAAAAAACATTCATCGTTGAAAAGTTTTGTTGATGACTTTTACCATTTTACGTTTCATAGCTAATAGTTTCAACTGACAAAATATAAAGTACTGTCGTGCTATACTTTAAATGAAACATATAAAGATTACGTAGCTATTAACTTTAGGTGACAACTCATATTTTATTGCACTACATGTTAGGCGACAAAATGTTATATTTTGTTGCTATATTCTTTAAGCAATACACACAATTATGACGTTGCTACTAACTTTATGTAACAAAAATGCACATTTCGTCGCGGTATATCATAGGCGAGCAAAATTTACATTTTGTTGTGGTATACGTTAGGCGGCACAAACACACATCTCGTCGCTGTATAGTGTAGGCGACACAATAGAAAGTACGCCGTTATTAACTTTAGGCGAAGACATTTAAAATTTCACCGGTAATTCGTTTTAGCGACGAAAATGGTATAGGCGACAATTTTTTGATTTGTCGCCAAATTTAGCGACGAGTTTTAACAAGTTGTCACCTAAAATCAAGCGTGACATGCCTATCGCGACGATCGTAGCGACGATTTTTTTTCATCGCTAAATGTATACCGCAACAATTTCTAGGTTTTTAGCAACAAAAAAATTCGTAGCTAAAAGCCCTTTTTGTTGTAGTGTAAGTAACCAAGTGAATTAACACTTATACTCTCCATGATAGGAATGACTATCTGAATTAACACTTAATTCATATTCAATCATAAGACATTGGTTCGTACCTGGTTTTCCTTTGCCTTTCCTCAGACTGTTTAGGTATTGAGGACAGTTCCTCTTCCAGTGTCCATCTTCTCCATAGTGGAAACATTTTCCCTTTGCATTGGTCTTCTTTGCCTTCACCATTGGCTTTTTGAAGCTCTTATTCTTGGGTCCAAATTTTGGACCTTTCTTTGGTTGCTTTTTGGGCCTTTTAATGGTCCTGCTGGTGAAGGTGTCAAAGACATCCTCATGTCCTTTCCCTTTCACATTCCCCCTAAAGGCCTTAGTAATGGCTGCCTGAATCATCTTATTGATTGTAGCCTCATCCAAAACAGAAGCATTTTGGGTAGACGTAGGTGGTCCACTATTAGGCGGCGCATTGATAGTCGGTGCTACTGGCTCACTAGTGCCCTCTTCATTGACATTCTCCTCGCCCCTCCTATATATATATTCCTTAGAATATTCTCTTTCTCTTTCTTTTATGGTAATAATTTCTTTTATGGAAATAATCAACAATTAATTTATTTCACTTATTATTTTTGTATACATTA